CCAGATAGCTTCGTGCACAAATCTTCAAACGTTGGTATTGGATATTGCTCCAATTTGGAAAACTGATTCACTGTCAGTTTAAAATCTCCACAAATCCTGACAGAAGAATCAGGTTTAATGACTGGCACAATGGGACACGCCCACTCAGAATGCTTGACTGGCTCAATAATGCCTTCACTCAGCAAGCGATCAAGTTCAACTTCTATCTTCTGACGTAATGCATACGGCACAGATCTAGGTTTGAAAAACTTCAGAGTTGCATCTTTATCCACGGAGATGTGAGCTTGGAATCCCTTAAGTGTTCCAAGACCTTCCACAAATACAGCTGAGTGTCGTTCAAGAACATCATTAAGTGTCAAATCTGTAGATTTCATAAGGTTCACCGAAACATCCCTCAGGTCAAAGTTCAAAGGCTGTACCCATGTACGACCTAGAAGATTGGAACCATTACCCTTGGCTATGGAAATCGGTAAGGAGTAAGATCTCTCCTCGTAAGATACTTCCACCGTTCAAATCTACTTCCTGTCCTGTATAACTTCGCAGGGGTACTTGTGATGTGTACAATGTCGATGACTGAAGGCCAATTCTTTGAGCCGTCTGCTCATTCACAATGGTCACTGGGCATCCCGTGTCAACCTCAAACGTCACTGGTGTGCCATTAACATCCATTGTAATGTAGTAGGGGTTTGGGTAGTTTGGATCACCTTTAGCCAAAGGCTGAGTACTAACATGAAATAGCGAGTTCTCAAACAAGTCTTCCACACTAGCACTGCTGTTACCTGGGTCACACGAGTTCACCTCACTCACTGCAGCATTCACTTTCTGTCTTCCCTTGAATTAAGCCTTAGAATTCTGTTTCTGCGGAATTGATTCTCCTGACCTGCAGACTCTCACAATATGGCCACGTTTTCCACACTTATGACACTTCTCATTCTTATAAAAACACATGTGTGGAGCATGAGTAGTTTTTCCACATCTAAAACAAGGTTTGTTATTTCCAGATCCAACTTGAGGCCTCTGGTCTTTGGTACATTGTGCTGATGGTTTACTGCGAAACTTGTGTACTGAATGTCCCACAGTTTTATCACCGTGAAGATCCTGTAGATTCTTGTCTGCCGCCTCAATTGCGTTAGCAATTTTCAATGCACTACTAAATGTTAGAGCAGTCTCTGACAACTTTTTCTGAATATTGTCATCACAAATACCACACACTAACCTGTCTCTCAACATGGCCTGTAAAGACGTTCCAAAATCACACCCGTCAGTCAACTTTCTAAATTCGGCGACATAAGCAGCTACACTTTCACCAGCCTTCTTATTCCGTGAATGAAATTTAAATTTCTGAACAATTTCCGATGGTTTAGGCGTGAAATGTTCTTTCAATAAAACCACCAGCTGGTCAAACGTTTTCTCGCTAGGTTTCACGGGCTGAACCAATGCTCTTATCAACTGGTAAGTTTCAGTTCCACATGACGCTAACAGTATGCTTTTCTGTTTGTCTTCGTCTGTAATTCCGTTTGCCACGAAAACATGTGTCAGTATCTCACACCATTCCTCCCATGTCGACTTCTTTGGATTAAATTCAAACAATCCACAAACAAAACCCGTGGTAGCCATAATCTCTGAGCTGAAGATAGTGACGGTTATAATGCCTCAAGAAGAGCGAAACAAAAGTCAATGTTCATCTATACCGCTTCTCCTATTTCACACTGACGGGTGAAACAAAGGTCAGCAGACCACGTGCTCTTGACTAACACACTCGTGGCAATGAACACACCTCGTCAATGTACCGTCAAACAGCCAGATAAACGTACTAAAATTCCTTTACATATACTTCATAGCTACCTGGGATCCCATCCTCGTCGCCAAAATGTTGGGTTCTCAGGGAGGAACGACAAACGCGGGAGTAGGGAGACGAGCCTGCCACTTGACCGGCTGTTTATTCAGACTGTCGCATGTTACATAACAGCACGTGATTGCGCTTACCCGCAACTAATCGCATTACAAGAGCGGACATCTGTTGGCCTGTCATAATATTATACACTAGCTAGTTTAAAACTACTGCGTTTCAATTACAGATATTACAGTGGTTGACCCTATTGTTTTCCTTAGGATCAGCTTTGCATGCTTTTTAACCCTCACTTGCACCTCAGTCACTACACAGACAAGTCACTGACAGACGACAGCAAGTGGGCACATGTTACAGATTTTGTAAAGTCCAGGTATGTTTCCAATTAAATATGAAAACATATATAAAGCTATCTTTTCATAAATAAGATTATATAAATAGGTGTACGTTAAATAAGGTATTTGTTATGATGTGTGTGAGATTTAGTCAATGTCTGATTCTCCTGGACAGGGTGTGGTTTGAATATGTTTATGAGGCTATTATCATATATGTGTTAAATTTATTGTAAGTGTGTGGACATTTATGATAGTTTTAGGATGTTTAGTAATTTATTGTGTTTGATGGTAGTGCTGTGTTCAGATCTGTAAATATGTATAAACAATAGCACTGATTTGATAATAATATCCACACGTGCAAGAGCATTGTGTAAGGAAGCTAGTTTTATTGTACATTTAGAATAACTTCCATATTTATAGGTACTTTGATGTCACTGTAGCCCTGGCCATGTAGTCGTGACAGACTAAAGTGTAACCTACACCTAGAGGCCATACTTCTGGTATGTTTACTTATCACCACATGTAAATATATATTATTATTATGTTTATCTATTGATCACGTTTTACACCACCTAAGAAGCATTTTGATTTGATGTATGCACTATATGTATGTATAATGTAATTCTAATGATGTATCATGTTCTGACGTATACATATCCTCTATATATGTATAAGGTAATCCTAATGAAGTATCATGTTCTCATTTTAATTGTCATAATTTACAAGATTCTCATTGAGTGTTATTGTGCATTTCAGGGTGTGAAAGAAAAGTATACCACACATACTCGTCATCTAATAAAACGAATCACATCCGTAGCCGTGTTTTGACATCATTTATCGATGCACACACATATTCTGCTACTTATGTATGCCTCGAACTGGATGTCCCGGAGATGGAGGTACGAGGCTATCGCCTTGGTAAGCCATGTGAATAGCCACGGGGCCGAAGAAATTCCAAACGGGAGGACCGCCCATGAAGATGAAGCGGAGGAATTTCCGGTTGCCTGGATGTATAGGGACGTGTAGGTAGGCGTCCTCGATGTCCAGGCTGATGAGCGCCTCCCGCGCCTGGATCCGGGATCGCAGTAGCCTGAGCGTGGTCATCCGGAAGTACGGTGGATGCGCCAGGATCTCCCAATTCTACCAGAAGTGAGCCTGTCTCCCACCTACTGGGGTGTTGACAACTTGGACGGCTGGGGGTGGGAGGTCCCAGTCGTGTCCGTCCGGCGGTTCACTGGGGGTCCCTGCGGCTGGCGTTACCCCTCTTGGGGTAGGCGGGACGGGGCTGGTATGAGCCTGAGGACTTTCCTTTCCCCTTGCCTCTGCCTCGAGAGGTTGAGGTGGCGCCCCACCCCAGGGACCGGAGGACGCCCTAGCCTTGGACGCCCTAGCAGTGTCTGGCCGAGACACCCTGGCCAGGGCCTTGAGAGCCGTCTCATCACGGGCGAAGGCTGAGACCTGGGCGTGTGTCTGGGATATTTGCCCATTTAAGAGGTCAGAGCCGGACCAGGGTTGGCGCAAGAGGTCTCTCTTGAACTCTGGGTCCCAGTTGGACAAGGCAAGGTACCCAAGGCGTCTGGTGGGAGTGAGCTCGATCAGAGCGGTGCGCATGTGGGAGCGCATCTGTTCCACCTGTTGTTGGAGATAGGATAAGACAGTAGTTAAATTGTCAATCCTATGGGGGTTGTCCTCCGCTAAGTCCTGCAGTATGGCCCTGGAGGGCGACGCTATCAGAGAGAGGGGTTTGAGCGTGTGGTGAATCTCAGTCTCTATGTAGGCAAGTTTGATGTCGGAGACTCGGACTGAGGTGGAGCGGTTTGATCCCGTCATCCGAGATGGCCGATCTGGAAAGTGAAACCTCGGAAAGGTCTGACATCCTGCGCCGGTGTTTTCTGGCCTGCTGTGTTCTGCGTTTAGTGCAAACACAAAGATACTGTCTGAAAGCTGTGGGTGAAAGCAGTAAACAGTCTTTACATCGGTGATCTTGGTGGCATTGAGATGTACAATTAAGGCACAGAGGGTGGGGATCCCACGCCGACATATTGCGCTGGCACTTTAAGCAGGAGGGCATGATATCTGCAATGAAGCAGTGTAAAATCACAATGCATCCCCGCCCGATTATGTATGCTATAATATCTTTATCCCACTATGTGGGTTTATGAAACAAATATAACGACAAACGTAAGACAACATACAATCAAACAAAACAATACATGTGATGATACACCAATCGTGGGGTACCAAGCAAAAGAATATAGAACGCAAACCAGTCCACAAACGGCTGGCTACGCAAAATATTCAAGATGGCTACTTGGAGCAACAAGACACCTGGCCTTATGTCTTCTTTTGAGAAAACGCCAGTAAGTGTCTAATAAAGTTATGCACATGTTTATCAAACATAGAATGTACAAAATACAAACCGTATGCACAACACAAAGACAAAACAACATTAACTCAGACAGCAAACACGTGAGGGTTTGAACCACTTTTATGTTACAAGAAGAAAAACGGGTCTTCTCTCATCAAGTGACAAGAGTAATGTGATGATCTGTGACGTCACTGCTAGTTGGAGCAACTTCTTCAAGCAAATACCTTCACACAGCTCTTTTCTCTGTCAAGAACAAGCAGTAATATGCATTAAGGAGTAATGCAGAATAAGTAAAAAAATTATGTTTCTACCTCTGAAATAAAACATTCAAATCTAATTTTGCATGTTGTTGACATCCATGCAGTTTAAGGGTTAACTTGTATTTCCACAATACTGAATTAGAGTATTCAAGCTGATCTTGCATGTTGGTGAGGACACACATCCCTACCTGTTCTACCATGTCCTTAGGGAGATCTTCGCTGGAGTCGACGTTCATGATGGCCCGGCGTAGCTCCTCATTGCTGAGTTTGATCTTGGACAGGAGGATGGTACAGTTCTGGGCACGCCTCCCATCAATCACGGTCAGCTCTTTGGCTTTGGGCTTCACGTTCTTTGTGTCATCCTCCCCCTCACCACGGTTGTGCTGGTAGGCCGAGAAGGTCTTCTCGAAGTCCAACAGATCCAGCATGCTGTATAACTGTAACAGTGAGTGAGGTAATGGTGTTTAACACTGAACATGATCTCAGAGTCACCATACTGAGGGAGGAAGATCACAGTGATGCAGGTAGTTGAGTGAGTGAGTGTGTGAGTGTGTGAGTGAGTGAGTGAGTTGGGTTTAACACTGCTTTGAACAGTATTCCAGTTATATCACAGTAAGTCAGCTTCATGTAGGAGGAAAGGCCGGAGTAATGGAGGTCTCAGATATTTACCACTTTGGTGAAACCCATGAGCAAGGGTATATAGTGCTCACAAACCAGAAAACATAATTGGAGCAAACTGGGATTCAAACCCACGATCATAGACATCTGGCGACACAGTTCGTGGATGTTTACCAGAACTATACACCCTTGCACTATGGTTTCAAAACTACGATCTGCGTCACTGTTTACCAATTTTGTGAAACCCATGAGTAATGGTATGGTTCTGCTAGAACCATGAATCTCCTTCTGGGATTCCAACCATAAATTGGCAGATCCAGGCATCTAAGCCATGCAATACTACTTTGCAAGTTTTAGCATCTTAAACCACTAGACCAGATCTTATTCTTTGGTACCATTTTATTACTGACTTTCTTAAGACCCTGTAGAATATAGTCAGTGACACTTCTACTGTTATATTACAAAATTCCATGTAACGACAATGTGTTTACCTTTGTATCATCAAGATCCTTCCACACTGTTCCTGCAATCTTATTCTGAAAAGTAACACAATTCACTAGTATCATACATGGTCCCATTTCAATCATAAACCTGGGGAAGATTTCTCAGTTTGTTAACACATTCTGCCGACCCCAAACATTAAAATGGACATTTTCATAAAATACTTCAACCAAAGAACATTACCTCAAAAAAAGTGTGTGTACCAAGTAAAGAAATAAGTCTGGAATTAACTTGATATTACATTTGTACTTGTGGATTACATTTGTACTTGTGTATTACATTTGTACTTGTGTACAATGTATTACATTTGAACTTGTGTATTATATTTGTACTTGTATATCACATTTGTACTTGTGTATCACATTTCTACTTGTGTATCACATTTCTACTTGTGTATTACATTTGGACTTGTGTATTACATTTGGACTTGTATATCACATTTGTACTTGAGTATTACATTTCTACTTGAGTATTACATTTCTACTTGTGTATTACATTTGGACTTGTGTGTTACATTTGGACTTGTGTATTACATTTCTACTTGTGTATTACATTTGGACTTGTGTGTTACATTTGGACTTGTGTATTACATTTGGACTTGTGTATTACATTTGGACTTGTGTGTTACATTTGTACTTGTGTATCACATTTGTTCTTGTGTATTACATTTGTACTTGTGTATTACATTTGTACTTGAGTATTACATTTGGACTTGTGTATTACATTTGTACTTGTGTATAACATTTGTACTTGAGTATTACATTTGGACTTGTGTGTTACATTTGTACTTGTGTATCACATTTGTTCTTGTGTATTACATTTGTACTTGTGTATTACATTTGTACTTGTGTATAACATTTGGACTTGTGTATTACATTTGTACTTGTATATTACATTTGTACTTGTATATTACATTTGGACTTGTGTATTACATTTTTAATTCTCATAGGATACAGCCTTCGACATTTATTTTTAAAAACTACGCCAGAGAAGTAGTATATTGAAACCAAGTTTGTAGCTGGTCCTGCTTCAACGAAATAAAAATGTGTTTGACGCACAATCTAGTATCAGGATAGCAGACTTGGGTGAATTCCAAAGGTGGACTGTTATTTGTAACTGTAATATTTTACAAAACAATAAACACTTTCCATCACTGTTAACAACATGCATAACCTGTTCAATACAGAAACAAACATACAAGATTATTAATACATGATAGAAATGTATTTAAAGTTTGCCTTACATCTGGTAGTTTTGTCCAGTTAAAAGACTTGAGAGGGTTTCCTGGTTTGGGTGCGTTCTTCCTCTTCGCAAAGCCAGGTGAAAAATGATTAGATAAACCTAGAACAAAATAAAACCAGGTACATGCCACGCTTTCTTCCATTTGTTTTATTATGGAGTTTTATTAAATCAATAAAAAAGATACCTCTTAACCCATGTCAATGACACATGTACATTTACTGTCACTGTACTCAAAGAAAATGAAACTATCAACAAGTCATTCGTAAGTACATGTTCTAGTTTGACAGATTTTTTAAATACATATATTCACCTATACCTTCAAAAACACACACTTTATTACAACTTTTATTATCATAAGAAAATGAAACCATGAAGATGGTGTTCTTATGTAGTTTGACATTTATAAAACAAATTCAAAATTAGTAAAATCTAAATATTTTTTACATTTGTATACTTATCCTGCATTACTCACTGTCATGTGACCTTGATGACAAGTCACCTTCATCACATCACTGCCTGTTTCCCAAACCTTAACGTCCTTGCTGTTACGAGACATGTGAAGGTGACTCGTCTTCAAGGTCAAAATGACAGTGGTGATGGTGCATGCAAAAAGCCGGTGTTGAAAACACAACATCTTTTTTTCATCCAAGACCATCGCTGAGCGCTGTCTTTGTTCTCTCATAAGGTAAGCAGTAAATGCATTTAGGAGTAATGCAGGATAGGTAAAAAAATTTCTTTTAACCCATTCAGTGACTGAGTGAGTGAGTGAGTGAGTGAGTGAGTGAGTGAGTGAGTGAGTTGGGATTAATGGCGCTTTCAACAGTGTTCCAGTTATATCACGACGTGTCAGCTTAATGTGGGAGGAAAGCCTGACGTGATGCAGGTCTTGGATGTTAACACCCCTGTTGAAATCTACAAGCACAGGTATGGTCTTGACAAACCTAGAATTGGATGACAACAAACCTTCTCAAACTTAACACTGATAAGACTGAATACCTGCTAATTGGATCGAAAAGCAAGTTATCACAACTTAACCCTCTTGGTGCCACGGGACCATATATGGTCCCTCACTTTTCACACCCGCATAGTGCCAGGGGACCATATATGGTCCCGAGAAAATGCCCTTTTTAAACTTTGAAGTTTGATACTTAATACTGAGTGCGCAAAGTCAAAACTATAACCATCATCACCCCAATCATCTTAGCTTTAACATCGTGTAACTCATACTTTAGTCAATGCTACGGATTGCGAAATATGGCGAGATTAGTAAAGTGGCTACCGCTCCTCTCGGCCTTTTCTGCCATGTTTGAACACCAAGCGAATGACGGCGAATTTTGATTATGCACCCATGTCGCATACACGTAAATATTTTCAGACAAAGTCCTTGTTCATAAGAAAAAGTATGACCTGAGTGGTCAGAAAGACATATTTTTCCCAACTATATACTTATTTACGTAAATACAATTCTGTTCACTCCTTTACGAACAAGTTTATTTACACGTTTTGTATATTTTTATCGACTATCGGTAATGGCGGAATGGTCGGTACACATGAGAAAACGACAGTGTATATTTCCATTACATTTATGACGTTCATTGAATGAATTTATAACCATCATCACCCTAATCATCTCAACGTTAATATCATGTAACTCATATTTTATGCAGAGCTACGGATTGCGAAATATAGCGAGATAAGTTATGTGGTTACCGAGCTTCTCGATCTTTTTCTGCAATGTTGAACTTCATGCGAAGGAAGGCATTTTTTTATTATGCACTCGTGTCACATACACGTAACTATTATTATATCAGACAGCCAATTTGAAAATGAAATCTGATCGGACTGGTCAGAAAGATTTACTAGTCCCCACTGTACAGTTATTGGCGTAAGAGTACTAACGTTTAGTCGGCCACGGAAGTTTTTTGTTCAAGTATTGCATATGTTTATCGACTGTGTGTCATGGCGATTTAGCACGGTGCTACATACCAACCGACTGTGCAGATTGTCTTTTTGTTTATGATGCTGATTTACAGAAAATATTCAAATAAAAAATATGGAAAGATAGCTGTAATCGTTAATATTAAGTTGGTACAGTGTTTATTTATGGGCAGGAAATTCATGATCAAAACCTAAACATTGAATGGCCAAGCCCGAAGTTACCAACAGGGCACGTTTGCATCATATCTGTGCCGCGATTTCTTGTTTACCGGTTGTCCTACATACTCGCCTGTTCAGACAAATAACTGCTACTTTTTTCATATGAAATGACTAAAAGTCATGTGTGATTGCTCAAAATACCTGACCGTGTGAGTGACTTGCCCTAACTGTTTCACATTTTGTCGCAAATGTAGATTTCAAAAGTGTGGCCACGACATCTAACGTGAGTCGACGCCATATTGTAAACAAATTGTGTCAAGGTCGGTTCCACATGTGGTAGCTCGGCCCCCGTTTCTGTCGATGGTACACGCGATACAAACATAAAGCAACTTCTGAAAACATCAACATAACTTCTACAATGATGACATCAATACCTTTTTGTATTTGGATTAACCGCTTATGGATACGCTGTGCTGTTAAGTTCGATTTGGATTTGTTTTTCCTTTCATTGAAACTGTGATAATGGGGCTGTGATTGGTTTGATGAAATAGTATTTTCCATGAGTCTAATGTACATGGTACATGCTGTGATTGTAGAAGATAATTGATAACCAATTGTGTATGCATATATATATCATCAAATACACATTACTAATCTCTTCAGAAAATGGAATATATTATAGGTCTAGCTCGTTTTCAAACATTCTGCCATGGATATTAGATTCAAAATTAATATTAGATTTACAAATTATTTATGTACGCTGTACTCTCGATTAACGTATGATAATCTATTGTAAGTCTTCAACTCTTATTTGATATGTCATCTGAAATGTCAGCAATGAGTAAAATTAATTTCGTTACAATCTGCAATTTTATTCAAATAGGCTAATAGACGGTCGGTGATTTCCCGCCGCTGTGAATTTGTCGTCTGGACAGATGCGCGTGATTTGACCTCGCGTGTTGTGACGTGGATGACGTCACATGAAACAGCTGATCTAATGTTTTGGTAGTATAATGGATACACGTGGTTTCATTTTCCAAATAACAATATTCTCTTTGACTGAACTAGAAAGCATATCTAGTACATCACGATTGGAAAATATCTACGGCGACCGACGAGTGAATGAGACCGCTTATCATTTGACTAACAGTGTTGGAATATTTGGCGCAGTTTTCTAATTTTGGTATGTTGACATGTGCTTTTCATATCTGTTTGAAGGCTTGATATTCCAAAAAAAATAATGTGCATTTAGTTGATTACAGCGAGAAAGCTGTCAAAATGGATCCAATATTAAACAACCTAGAATTTTAATATTTTAGCTTCATCTATTAGAATCTCGAATGGTTCAATTTATAACATAAACAGTAAAAGTAAAGATCTACTCACAATATATAGATAATCAATTTCTGAAAGACAAAAAGTTTTCAGTGTAAATGTGATTTCGTTTTGATGATTTATATAGTTATAATTATGTCTTTTTTCACTCTGCATTATCTAAATTACCAAATACTTCGACCAGTGACATAGTAGTCATTAGATTCTACTTTGTTTTGTATCCTTAGTATGAAATAGATTTTTTTTAAATAAATATTTGTCTAAGAGCAAAATCAATGCATTCTTGTGTTGTTGTTTTTCACCATTTTAATTTGTATATCTTCCCTCCAAGCTGTAGATCTAGTTTAGCTAGCCCAAAATTAAGAAAAAAGGAAAGACATAATAAACCATTTTTATTAAAGATTTTGCTTGTTAAATTTTCGAAGTTCAATACCAAGAATATATTTTTCCTTTATGACAAATAATTCCATTACTTTCATTGACCTACGATCATTATCTATTTTAAACTTTTCCTTTAGTAGAATGGGATGGAATGGGAAACTAGTGGAAATAAACTATCACGTATGTCCTTAAATGTACATACCTATAGCTAGGTGTAAATACACTTCTAAAGTCGTATTTATAAATCAAATGAATAAATGAAATAAACGGTGGTATTTCATGGACTGGCCATACAAGTATATTTTGAGCAAAGGTCTAAGTTAGGCAGCCAAGTGCGAAATACGAACTGATACAAGGATGTATGTTTTCTGGTGGTCATAGTGAAACAATGACATATCGCGCCCGAGTTGCGAGTGATCGAAAATAGGTTTGTTGAATAGATTTGCTGCCCATGAAAACGTTTCAACAATTTTGATTGAATCTACATGTACTTACTCTTGGGTGGTATTACGTTAGTATAATCTTGTTAATTATTAAGAAATAATAATGATGCCCGATATTGAGCGATGTCAATTTGAGTATTGTTAGGGCTGTTTGGCGATCTTTCACATTTTGTCCTTTGAAAATGTACGAAGTCAATTACCCCGAAGTTGTTTTTATCACTAATAAAAGAGCACGGTCATTGAAACATACATGGACGTAACCGGGATTTCTTTAAGATATACATTCCAAACTGTCATTCGTTTTGTGATTTTATCTTTGAAACAGTCTGCGTATGAATTAATCACGACCACTTATGTCAATTTTGTTTCGACATAAAAAACACGCACAATTTCATCGGGATTTTTTATCGGTAAATATAACTCACGGAAAATTCTCAGTGAATGTGTACTTCAACATAAATATCATATGTCTATCACTGTTAGGACATGTACTTGCCAATGATATGAATTATTGGTCATTTAGATTTCAAACAAGGGCGCTTACTTGACTTTGCTTGCCGTATTCGGGTGCGTCCATATTACGATTAATGTGACAAAGTAGGAAACTTATAATACCAGCACTTTTATAGATGGCTGGCCAGTGCATAGATCTTAGGGATTTGGTGACTTTAGATACTGTTGGAAAGACAATCAACTTGAGTTGCATGTTATACAGTTTGGTTACACTGTGTGAAGAAATAAAGACGTTGCAACACTTTTGATACAATGTATACGTTTTTGTAACCGCGACGTCAGCACAGTGCGGCACTGAGCGGTTTGCAGGCTGACTGACGTCCAGGCACCATGAGGGTTAAAGCTTTAGATTGTGACATAAAAATTGGAGATGTAAAGGTAACACCAAGCCAGAAAGTGAAGAACCTTGGAGTATGGTCCTGTCTCTTGTTATGTCCCGGATAGACTACTGCAATAGCCTTCTCTCTAACATCAGTAAACAACAAATTAACCGACTTCAACTATTACAGAATGCTGCTGCAAGAATTGTCACAAGAACCCGCAAATTTGAACATACAACCCCGATTCTAGAGAGCCTACACTGACTGCCAATACCTGCACGACTTGACTACAAATTTCTCCTCTTTGCCTACAAATGTGTCAACCATCTAGCTCCAGCCTACTTGACAGAACTGATTCCACCTTAAAGAATGTGCGCCCTCTGCGGTCCCAAAACCAGCTCCTTCTAACAGTGCCACCTGTGAAGACATTATCATTCGGCATGCGATCCTTCGCCTACACAGCAAGCTCCAAGTGGAATGAACTCCCTCTCTCCATAAAGACTTCCTCATCACTCTCCTGCTTCAAAAAACCCATCAAGACCCACCTGTTCAAAAAACACTCCCACTGACTACAAGTTTCATTATAGCGCACAGAGCACTTATGCACAGTGAATGCTGCGCTATACAAATGTATAAATTATTATTATTATTAGAAACATAATCGGGTCGAACCAGGATTCAAACCCACAACCATAGGTTTTTGGTGAGAATTCCTTGAATACAAGTACTTGCCAAGTCGTTAATAGCACTTAGAAGAACATGATGACTTTTATGGATAACAACTTCTCTATGGTTGGAGCAATGTTTCAGGGCTACTTCTTGCCCTTCATCAGGAGAATACTGTACCTGGTTGTCCTGGAGCTGGTGGTGGTGGAGGAGGAGCTGACCCTGGGGGTGGGGGTGGGGGTGGTGGAGGGGGTGGGGCAGGAGCTGAGTTCATCCTTCCTAGGGGTGCTATATATGTAGTGGTAGCAGATGACAGGCCCACTTTGGCATCGTCTGGGAGGCTGCCTGTCTTCACCAGGTGTTGTAGTTTCTGCTTCTCACCACGCTCTGTCTCCAGCTGAAATACATTACATACACTGGTGTTACTCTTAATATAACAGTTCATTATATCTACTATAGTCATTAATGATCCCTGTCTCAAAGGAACAATGCATATTACTGAATTTGACAACTTAAGTGCTGTGCATGAGTTTCTTCCTTTGCAACAGTTTCTATGCTTGTACGCTGCCATTTCCTGCCACCGACAATGTGGTCTCTCTCATAGCTGTAATCTCCCCTCCTACCTGTAGTCTCCCCTCCAACCTGTGGTCTCCCTCCTACCTGTGTCCTCCCCTCCTACCTATAGTCTCCCCTTCTATCTATAGTCTCCCCTCTGGCCTATAGTCTTCCCTCCTACCTATAGTCTGCCCTCCTACCTACAGTCTCCCCTCCTACCTATAGTCTCCCCTCTGGCCTATAGTCTCCCCTCCTACCTGTAGTCTCCCCTCCTGCCTGTGTCCTCCCCTCCTCTGCCTGTAGTCTCCCCTCCTACCTACAGTCTCCCCTCCTCTGCCTGTAGTCTCCCCTCCTGCCTATAGTCTCCCCTCCTGCCTGTGTCCTCCCCTCCTCTGCCTGTAGTCTCCCCTCCTACCTACAGTCTCCCCTCCTACCTATAGTCTTCCCTCTGGCCTATAGTCTCCCCTCTGGCCTATAGTCTCCCCTCTGGCCTATAGTCTCCCCTCCTGCCTGTGTCCTCCCCTCCTGCCTGTGTCCTCCCCTCCTCTGCCTGTAGTCTCCCCTCCTACCTACAGTCTCCCCTCCTCTGCCTATAGTCTTCCCTCTGGCCTATAGTCTTCCCTCCTACCTGTAGTCTCCCCTCCTCCCTGTGTCCTCCCCTCCTCTGCCTGTAGTCTCCCCTCCTACCTACAGTCTCCCCTCCTCTGCCTATAGTCTTCCCTCTGGCCTATAGTCTCCCCTCCTGCCTGTGTCCTCCCCTCCTCTGCCTGTAGTCTCCCCTCCTACCTACAGTCTCCCCTCCTCTGCCTGTAGTCTCCCCTCCTGCCTATAGTCTTCCCTCTGGCCTATAGTCTCCCCTCTGGCCTATAGTCTTCCCTCTGGCCTATAGTCTCCCCTCTGGCCTATAGTCTCCCCTCTGGCCTATAGTCTTCCCTCCTACCTGTAGTCTCCCCTCCTCCCTGTGTCCTCCCCTCCTCTGCCTGTAGTCTCCCCTCCTACCTACAGTCTCCCCTCCTCTGCCTATAGTCTTCCCTCTGGCCTATAGTCTCCCCTCCTGCCTGTGTCCTCCCCTCCTCTGCCTGTAGTCTCCCCTCCTACCTAAAGTCTCCCCTCCTCTGCCTGTAGTCTCCCCTCCTACCTATAGTCTCCCCTCCTACCTACAGTCTCCCCTCCTACCTATAGCCTTCCCTCCTACCTATAGTCTCCCCTCCTACCTACAGTCTCCCCTCCTACCTATAGCCTTCCCTCCTACCTATAGTCTCCCCTCTGGCCTATAGTCTCCCCTCCTGCCTGTGTCCTCCCCTCCTCTGCCTGTAGTCTCCCCTCCTACCTACAGTCTCCCCTCCTCTGCCTGTAGTCTCCCCTCCTGCCTATAGTCTTCCCTCTGGCCTATAGTCTCCCCTCTGGCCTATAGTCTCCCCTCTGGCCTATAGTCTCCCCTCCTACCTAAAGTCTCCCCTCCTCTGCCTGTAGTCTCCCCTCCTACCTATAGTCTCCCCTCCTACCTACAGTCTCCCCTCCTACCTATAGCCTTCCCTCCTACCTATAGTCTCCCCTCCTACCTACAGTCTCCCCTCCTACCTATAGCCTTCCCTCCTACCTGTAGTCTCACCTCCTACCTACAGTCTCCCCTCCTACCTATAGCCTTCCCTCCTACCTATAGTCTCCCCTCCTACCTACAGTCTCACCTCCTACCTATAGCCTTTCCTCCTACCTATAGTCTCCCCTCCTACCTACAGTCTCCCCTCCTACCTATAGCCTTCCCTCCTACCTATAGTCTCACCTCCTACCTACAGTCTCCCCTCCTACCTATAGCCTTCCCTCCTACCTGTAGTCTCCCCTACTACCCATAGTCTCCCCTCCTACCTATAGCCTTCCCTCCTACCTGTAGTCTCCCCTACTACCCATAGTCTTCCCTCCTACCTATAGTCTGCCCTCCTACCTACAGTCTCCCCTCCTGCCTATTGTCTCCCCTCCTACCTATAGTCTCCCCTCCTGCCTGTAGTCTCCCCTCTTACCTGTGGCCTCCCCTCCTGCCTATAGTCTCCCCTCCTGCCTGTGGCCTCCCCTCCTACCTGTAGTCTCCCCTCTTACCTGTGGCCTCCCCTCCTACCTGTAGTCTCCCCTCCTCTGCCTGTAGTCTCCCCTCCTACCTATAGTCTCCCCTCTTACCTGTAGTCTCCCCTCCTACCTACAGTCTCCCCTCCTACCTATAGCCTTCCCTCCTACCTATAGTCTCCCCTCTGGCCTATAGTCTTCCCTCCTACCTATAGTCTGCCCTCCTACCTACAGTCTCCCCTCCTGCCTATTGTCTCCCCTCCTACCTATAGTCTCCCCTCCTGCCTGTAGTCTCCCCTCTTACCTGTGGCCTCCCCTCCTGCCTATAGTCTCCCCTCCTGCCTGTGGCCTCCCCTCCTACCTGTAGTCTCCCCTCTTACCTGTGGCCTCCCCTCCTGCCTATAGTCTCCCCTCCTGCCTGTGGCCTCCCCTCCTACCTGTAGTCTCCCCTCTTACCTGTGGCCTCCCCTCCTACCTGTAGTCTCCCCTCCTCTGCCTGTAGTCTCCCCTCCTACCTATAGTCTCCCCTCCTGCCTATAGTCTCCCCTCCTGCCTATAGTCTCCCCTCTTACCTATAGCCTTCCCTTTCTCCCTATAGTCTCCCCTCCTACCTGTTGCATCCCCTCCTACCTATAGTCTCCCCTCCTACCTGTTGCCTCCCCTCCTACCTATAGTCTCCCCTCCTACCTGTTGCCTCCCCTCCTGCCTGTAGTCTCCCCTCCTGCCTATAGTCTCCCCTCCTACCGATAGCCTCCCCTCCTACCTGTGTTTTGGCCTCTGCCAGGGAAGACAGCAGGTTGTCCAGCTGCTGCTTGGTCTCAGTGTGGTTGGCCACCTCCTTCTCCAGCTTCGTCTTCATCTTGTTCATGGTGGTGATCAGCTCCTCCTGGGCACACACAACAGGGGTCACTTTATATGTATTAGCACACAGCATCTATCTTCATTAACTAATAATCGCAATATTTTGTGATGTTTCAAGTTGTGAGGACTATAGATGTTTGCCACATGGCCTCCAATATCGTAATAAAGAATCTTGACTACAAGCATATGTGAAACATGTGGTCAAAGCTCCACACATTCATAAAAATCATCATGTGACACTAATCAACTGTTTTTCAGAAAGACAATGTGGTGTTTCGAGTTCAGAAGTAATATTGGTGGTGTACATAAAATTATTTCTCAGACTGAGTACATTGGATATTTACCAATGAATTGAGAGCATACTGAATTGAGAGCATAGTGGTTGGTCAGCGTTGACTCACTTTTGAAAGCTTTATGTCACTTGTGCATTAACAATTTGCTCTCTGTGATATTTTAAGTATGTAAATATTTTGTGAAAAAAATAAAATACATCATATTTTTGACAGAGCAAATGTAATAGTTTAATTGTAGTCACTATTAGTGAAATAATTACGCCCAAATCCTAATGGTTGGTATCTCTGGTCTAGTGTCACATGTACCTTCTCCTGTAGCCTGACTTCACACTCCCTTTCCTTCTTAGCAAGTTTGGCGTTGAGCTCATCATTTGACTTCTCCATCTCACGGAGTTTCTGCTGGAATGCCTTCACATCGTTCTCACTGGCCAGTCTGTGACACAAACACAAAATATATTCGGGCCGTCTTTTTTTTCTTGCAAATAAGAAAAAAACAAATTTTAAGGATTTTTTTCCATCCTAACGTGTTTGTTAATAAATGTCAGTACCCAAAAAAAGTCCAAGAAGATCATTTTGGAAAGGGACATTCATTTAATTTTTCTTGTTTCAATAATTACTATATTCATCCCTTTGGCCACAAAAATTAATTTTAAATTTTATTCAAATATTTAAAAATGTGGTATGGAAGGAAATCTGTTTTATTTTTTCAAACAAACTGTTCAAGCCAATTATGTACATGAACTCTCGACTGGTGTGATTCACATTTTGTTAAGTCTCTTTGCAATATGGACAAGTTTGTGGAATGGTAAGTGCTTATCAGCAACAGGTGCAGAATGGTCCTGATTATATTCTAGCCATTGTCAGTACCCAATCGTACCAATCTAAAATTGGTACAACTGACAATATCTTATTGCCAAGTTTAACATTTTTAAACCTTATAACAAGAATAAATCAGTGGGAAAAGTGAACATAAACTTTCATCATCACTGTATTCTCACAAAAGACACCAATGGTTACTCACTGATTGACAACCTGCTTGACGTTGATTTCAAGTGGAGCTGCATCTGGGTCCTGGTTGTTCTTCTGGAGAACCACCTGCTGCACGATCTTGTCAATCAGCACCCACACAGACGTGATGTCATGCTTCCCGTCTACAACATACACACACAAGTGAGGTGAGGTGAAATAGAGCTTAACGTTGCGTCCATGATTATTGCACTTATATAGCGACAAGCATGCACGTGTGACTGCTTGTACTAGTCCGGACTGACTCTGATTTTATAGTGCTAGCCCACTGGGATACCATGCCGCAGTTGAACATGAATTTCCCATTCCGACACAGCATATGGACTCCAAGCTGACCAGTCCTTGTTTTAGCCCCTTAAATGCCAAACGTCAGGCAGGGTAACAACTAGTACCATCTTTTAAGGTCTTTTGGTATGACAGGCCCGGGGATCAAACCCCGGACCTTCTGCTCTGAGCAGACACTCGGACACTAGACCACAAAGACGGTATGTCACACAGAGTGACTGAGAGATTGGATGAGACAAAGGACTTTGCAACTTTGATTTGAACAGTTTTTCATTTATAAAATGACATGTAAGTGTAGTGGCAAGAAAATGTCAGAGTCCAGATGGAATTCAAACCACAGACCTGATACGAGGTCAGATACCTTGTCCACATGACCAAACAGTGTAAACTTGTCAGCAACCTGACAAGGTAAGGATGTCACTGTCAGATGACTCCATGCCCTGCTACATAAGTGTGATGAGGCAGCTAAACTCACTACGTCTCCCATAACACACAGGATGGTCAAGTCTTCTATAGTTCTGATACTGAATCAGGCTGCAACTAAGATTGGAACCAATCATCAGCTAAAGGAGGCAACCCTACATAGTGAATTGCATCTTCGAACTGGGGCACCATGTGCTTCGATACCAAGGTAACCACTTGGGCATATTTCTGGCAAAATGTGAGCCCCTCCCTGATGAAGATGGTGAGACTTACACGGCAGAAGCAGGAGGTGGTGGAGGATGGACTGGAGGTTGGAGTATGCCACCGACATTGTCAGCTTCTTCCTCAACACCTCAAACATCGTCGAGGCACTTTTTGTATCTACATGAATCTGGAACACAAGAATAGCTTGATATTCACCCAACACACAAAGTAGCAGCAACTATGTGATGTGGTCTGGACATTGTTTGAAATGTAAGTATTATCATATGTTTATATATATATATATATATATGATATATATATATATATATATATATATATATATATATATATATATTAGTAATATTACTTTAGTAGTATATATTAGTTTTAATTGGCTAGCGCTTACGAGTTTCTTCAGGCCATAACTGAATAACGGACATGAAGTAGTAAGTGAGTGAGTGAGTTGGGTTTAACACCGCTTTTAACAATATTCCAGTTATATCGCGGCTTGTCAGCTTAATGTGGGAGGAAAGCCCGAAGTGATGCAGGTCTCAGACGTTTACCACTTCGATGAAACCCACGAGCATGGGTATGGTGCTGACAAACCTAGAAACATAATCGGGGCGAACCAGGATTCGAACCCACAATCAAAGGTTTTTGGCGTGCCCAAGGGACGCAACTCTGCACAGCGAATTGCGGCTCCTTAGACGACTGGGCCACCCATGCCCCCGACATGAAGTAGTAACTATAACTGAATAATGGACATGAAGTAGTAACTATATATGTTACTACTTCATGTCCGTTATTCAGTTATGGCCTGATGAGACTTGTACGTAGTACAAGTTGAAAGCGCTAGCCAATTAAAACTGTGTTCAATCTTACTCCACTTATCTAACTATTACTATATTGTGCCCGAGAGTTAGAACTTTACTGTGCTTTATATATTTATAAGTGTTTTTACGATGTTGATGAATATTTGTTATACATGGACTTTTTAACTTACCCCTTCAAATCTTTTCGTTAATTCCTTTTCATCATCTGTGCGGACCATCTCGAAAAAGTCTAAATGTCTGAAAATAAAGGGATTTTATTTGAAACATCAACACAATGGACATAATATTATGTTTATATTACTTTCAAATGTGAATTGAATTTCATTTTATGAAGACTTCAATCAAGAATAATAAATATCAGTATGAACTGTTACTTCATGTTTTATATTCATATTCAGTGTTGGACAATTGGTCATGCTTATGTCTATAGATTCTGTACCAAACCATCAATATTCATGATTATTGTGTTTATCTTATTTCATCCATTAGTGTCTGCTGCAGCAGCATCACAGCACGTCATCTTTATGTGGGGAGAAAAGCCCAAAGTGATTCATGTCATTGATGTTTCCCACTTTGGGGAAATTGGCAAGCATGCTATAGTGCTGACAAACAAAGGACATTAGGGAAAATCTTGGAGTCAAACACACATCGAGCTGACAAAACTCAACACAGGGAAGTTGAGTGCCTCCAACTACTGGGCCATCCATGCCCAAGGCAGATCCAAGACAAACTGAGCTTTCGAATTCATGATCAGCAGATCCTGCCATTGATAGGGGATGCAACTCAGTGAATTGCGCCACACTAAACCTCTGGGCCACCAGGACCCCTATAAAAGCCAGTCCACTTACCTATCTAATGTGCTGTTGTCTAGAGAGCGAAGCTTGTCAATGACTGGTTGTATTCCCAGCATCAGTAGCTCATAGCGGAGATGCAGTCGAAACTCAAGTCGGTCCTTTCAAGGAAACAAATGACAGATTTGAATAAATTATTGCAATATGAGGGATATTTTGCTGTAGGTTCTAATCACTTGCTTGATAATGGTGTTGGAACCTACACTGAAATGTTTCTGTTGTTATAAAGAAGTTGTACATCCATATATCTAATCTTTACTTAGTACTCCAACTTCCAAATGCCTCTCAAAGAAGTTATTGCAAATTACTATATCACCTATAATACTAGAACCTAATAAGTAGCAGTCAATATAATTAATTAATACAGTTCAAAAGTCAATGACTGACATGTCTGTGTGCAAATCACTGTTTTATATGAGGTTGATATAAAGTGTTATATAATGATATGCAGCAGTAAACATCCCTCTGAAATATGTCTGTTGCCTTATTTCTCAGTATACATACAATACAAACAAACCCGTAAAGTGTATTAAACTTGTTTTAGTGTAGGATAAATATGCATTTGACTCTACATTTGACTCTTTGATTAAAAGATAAGAAATAAAGAAAACCTTAGTAGTAGTTCCTATTTCATATGGCCATGAGTAGCTGCAAAACTGCTGATGTGGCTTAAAACATTCTTCTCTCACGCACTGACTCTACCTGTCCTGGACCATAGTTGATTGCTGCATTGATGAAAGACATAATAGCAGTCTTCAGGCAAACCTCATCTCTGTGTTTTCCTGTACTACGGTCAAGGTCACAGATCAATGTCTGAAAAAATAATGTTAAATTTAACTTGCTTTCTGGAAAAAAAAGAACATATATTTTCATTTATGATAAACAAAAGTAAATTATATCTCCAAATGAAAACGGCAACATAACATTATTTACGATCATTTGTCACTGAATGCATGTAACTACAGGCAAATAAATACTTCCTAAAATAAGAAGAAAATCGACTCACAAACAACAACAAATCGGTCTTTATCTAACTATCCCTTTGCAGAACATTATCTCATGAAATAATTAATCCCAATATCCTTCTTATGGGCCCTGATTTAACAAAAAAATCTACCGAAGAAGGGGGGGTAACTTAATCTTTCTCATTCATAACATCGTTAGGCACAGGTAATTGGTTCCACCCAATTCTGAATATTTCATAAGAAGAATATTTTGTTTTCAAACATCATCAAATACCAAGCGAGAGACAGGGTCATTAATAAATAACAGTGAGCAGTTTGAGCATCTTAAAACCCTAGTCTGTGTGTAAAGGACAAACCAATTTACTTTCTTGCTTCAAGAATAACTTTGCAAAAGTAAAACAAAATAGAATAAAAAAATGTTTGATTGCATGTAATCTTCTTCTTGTTTTGTTAGTCCAAACTTCAAAACTTTCAATTGATATGACAAATGCCCTAGTAATATTATCTTCCTTTTGCTCCAATAAAATTTCTTGTGGGGCAATTCTTGCAAAGTTGTAAGTAAAAACAGCAGTTACAAACTTATTAAGAACAATCTATAGCTCAGTGTCAGCAATTTCATCATTGCATTTCAAATTTGAAATTTCAGTGACCATTTGTTATCTTCTCTTTGTTGCTTGTACTCACCTGAAACCTGGTTCTCTCCCCTGCATGTTTCTGGAAGTGCAGCATTGCATTGAGGACTTTGCGATGTCCACCTGGAACTAGACACACAGCACCGAGAATCTCCAGCACAGCCGTCTTGGTCTTGATGTTCTCCACGCTTAAACTTTGAGCAATAATGTTGATCCCGTTTGGGTGAGCTAATACATGGGACCGCCCTTGCTGCAACATGATGGACATTGTTATTAATGCACGGCCACTTTTGTCTTTGGAACACTTACCACTTTTAGCTTCTCATTGTGGATAACTTTCTTGCTTTGTATTTTGACATTGATTCAAGTAAAATGTTTTATCCTGATCTCTTTGGGAATGTGAGCCTCATCGTTCCTGGCATACGAGTCGAGTGTGAGGTTAATGTTAATGGAGCCATGGAACATATGGCAGGAAATTGGGATCTCCATGAAATATAACTTTATGGTATATGGTACCAAGTTTGTAGCTACAAGGATCACCCATGGAATATATGCTTAATGGTATATGGTACCAAGTTGGTGGATACGAGGATCACCCATGGAATACAAGCCTGATGTTAAGTGGTGCCAAGTAGGTGGACAGGAAGATCACCAAGGGATCATACGCATACGTCTAAAGGTATGATGGGCTGAGCTGGTCAACATGAATATTTCCCAAGGAATACAAGACATATTGCCAAGAGGGTGGATACAAGGATATCCATGGGAACATCAGCCTAATGGTTTGTGGTTGGTGGGCATGAAGATCTCCCATGCAAGGGAACATAAACCTAATGTTACGGGGCACCATGTTGCTGAACTCAAAGATTATCCAAGAAAAAAACCCTAATGTTATGTGGTCCTGGGTTGGTGGACATGTAGAACACTAAGATAGTGTGATTGTAGCTGTGAAAAAAAGCTTGGTGTTCAACTGACCGAGTTGTTCATGAGTGCCTTGATGCAGCCAATGATAGAGGTGTGGATTTGACTCTCCGAGCTCTGGTAGTCCATCTTACACAGGTAGTTCAGCAGGCTCTGTAGACCATTTTTCTCAATAAACCTCACCACAAAACTGGAACAGAAAGCATTGAAAAGATTAATCACAGTGACTGTATTTTGTTTCTTATGGAATAGTAAAAATACCAAATCAAAACTACTGAAATAAATCCCTTGCAAATCTTTGCAACAGTTATCATATCTCCATGTCAGAATGATAAGATCTGATCCACATGATCTTGATAAATTACTATGTATCCCGTCTTAGAGGGAAGTAAATTTCTCAGCGAGAGAATAAATCCCTTATACTCGCTTTGAAGCAAAATGCTGCACACTTTTTTCGAGTCAATGAAAGTCACGTGACATAGCACAAGCTAACCTTTGCGCAATCGAACAGCTGTTTTCTGTCAATTTTGAATTTGTGTTAATTCTTTTACCATGTCATTGCAAAACATATCAGTAAAATAAGTTCATTGTAGCAGGATCACATAGGGTACACAGGGTTTTATGAGTTCCTCCGGCTTGTGGTATAAAACCAAACAAGGGAAACAAAAAAGAAAATGTACCTCGAGTGATCCTGCTACAACTCATATTGTACCACAATCGATATAGAATGGTCATAGTATCATCATTACACTAAACCATTATGATGACATCACTATTAGTGTTGCAGTTGATTCTGAGCCAGGAATTCACTGACCAATCTGTATGTGCATTTAAAATCATAGAATTGAAACTACTGGTCATTATGCGAATTCATCAAGAACTCATATATCAACCATAACATGGTTTAAATCTGTTGATTCCAACAAATCTGTTGGTGGTTCCCAGCCACATCATACGAAAAGATGTTAAAAGATTATATTTGTTGTTACCCTGCCTGTCACTCAGCATTAAGGGGAGAAACCAAGGAAGGACAGGTCAACTCGGAACAGCATAGTGTCTTGAACACGACATTATACCCAATTTCACCTCCCCCTAAGGGGGCCATGGACATTGCAATGCATTGAGTGTTTGATCCGCAACTGAGTAACAAGCAGTTTCAATGAATTATAAAACAAACAATTTCACATGTTAAGGAGTATGGCTCTTTAAAGCTGTGACATTGCCATATGCACAAGATGCCAAGATGGAATTTGTACATTGTAGCAGTTGGTGTAAGATATCTTGTAAGTAACTCAATTTGGAACAGACAAACCAGTGATTGATATCATGAGCAATGTCACATGAGCAGGGTCCCAATACATGCAATCAACCAAGTTGCTGAGTCACCCAATCCCTGAAGTTGCACCTTACAACAAGCATAGACTGTTTGGGGCCTATTCTAACCTGGAATTCCTACCTCATCCGCTGAGTCCTCAGTGCTGTCTTCAGGTTGTCGACAAGCTTGATCTTCATGTTGACCTCTTCCTCGCTGAATCCCAGGTACAGCTGAAATTCCAAAACAACACATCTGACCTTCTGAATGGTAAATGGTGTACATGTTGTGAATGTTGAATGTTGTTTAATACAACAGTCAAAGATACTCCAGCTTTATTATTGAAACCTATAAATGATTGCGTCATGGCCAGGCAAACTGAAGGTTGACAGTGGTGTCACACCATTGGGGTATGACATACATAAGACGCATAACAACCAACTGATCCTCTACTGTTCAGACAGGATTGGGATATTGGTTACCTGCCTCTGAATTCCCATTTGGATGAACTCACATTATTCTAAAAGTAGTTCTACACAGTGCAGAAAATGTAGAAAAGACATCATGAAATTGTCTTCAAAAAGTAGCTCAAGAGTTTGTTGTGTAGTGTACACCATCTGTGGGTGAGACTGCGACTAGCAGACTGTAAATAATGGACTGAAAGCATCCATCCACATCATCAAGGTACAAAGACACACAGTCAGCCAAGTCCCTGAGTCTATCCACACCATCAGGGTACAAAGACACAGTCAGCCAAGTCCCTGATTCTATCCACACCATCAGGGTACAAAGACACACAGACAGCCAAGTCCCTGAGTCTATCCACACCATCAGGGTACAAAGACACAGTCAGCCAAGTCCCTGAGTCTATCCACACCATCAGGGTACAAAGACACACAGTCAGCCAAGTCCCTATGTCTATCCACACCATCAGGGTACAAAGACACAGTCAGCCAAGTCCCTGAGTCTATCCACACCATCAGGGTACAAAGACACACAGTCAGCCAAGTCCCTATGTCTATCCACACCATCAGGGTACAAAGACACAGTCAGCCAAGTCCATATGTCTATCCACACCATCAGGGTACAAAGACACAGTCAGCCAAGTCCCTGAGTCTATCCACACCATCAGGGTACAAAGACACAGTCAGCCAAGTCCCTGAGTCTATCCACACCATCAGGTTACAAAGACACACAGCCAGCCAAGTCCCTGAGTCTAATTACACCATCAGAGTACAAAGACACACAGTCAGCCAAGTTCCTATGTCTATCCACACCATCAGGGTACAAAGACACACAGTCAGCCAAGTCCCTGAGTCTATCCACACCATCAGGGTACAAAGACACACAGTCAGCCAAGTCCCTGAGTCTATCCACACCATCAGGGTACAAAGACACACAGTCAGCCAAGTCCCTGAGTCTATCCACACCATCAGTATACAGAGACACACAGTCAGTCAAGTCCCTGGGTCTATCCTCACCACCAGGGTACAAAGACACACAGTCAGCCAAGTCCCTGAGTTTGATTTTATGGGTTCTTGCAAGGACCATGGTATACAGGGGAGCTACATGGAAGATTGAAACCCTGGGTCTAATTTCGGATGTTATAGAAGTAGTATTCTTAGAATTATTAAAAATGATGATTATTGTTCAATAATTCTTAAGAAACTTCTACCTCTATTACATATCTGCCAGAGGGACCCCGGCGGGATCTGCCTCTAGTAACTTCCTGTATAATTGACAGCAATCCTCTTCTGGAAACCATAATGTACTGATTCTAATCCTACTGAGATAATTTCCGGTTAATGGTGATAGATGACATTTAAAGTGCTTCTAATCGGTCCTACACCTAAAAAGCATAGTAATCAATTACCCATCTGTTGTCATCTAATAGGGAGGATGAAGGTTGGCACGATCTTGCCGCAGCATCTGAGGCAAGCTCAGGGTAATCTGATGTTTGCATCTTCTGCGTCGATAACTTCCAGGTGGTAAGATGTAGGCTGGGCAGATTTTCATGGAATATGCTGGTCGTAGCAGATCCTAACGAATTGGTAACTGTATGGGTTCCTCCATTAGTAGCTTTAATAGTCCGGGGAACCATACTGGGGCTATCAGTATTATTACACAATACATCTCCTCCACCTGGTGGATGACTTTGTCTAGTAGAAACCATGGTGGGAATGCGTAGCCGAATAGATTCGTCAAACCCTTCGAAAAAGCATCAATCTGGTGAGCTATTGGGTTGGGAACTGGATTGACATAAACTGGGAGTTGGTTGTTCTGGCAGGTGGCGAATAGATCTATGTGTGGTATGTCCCATATCTTGGTTATCCAGCTGAAGATCTGTGGATGTAGTGTCCATTCTGTTGCCACTATTCTCCCCTGACGTGAGAGGCCAGTATGTTCAGTTTCCTGGGCATGTCTCGCTTCCATCCGGCAGTTGAAGGAGTCTGCCAAGGCAAACAATCGTGTCGTCTCTGTCATCAGGGAGTTTGACCTGGTTCCACCACACCTTTGAATATATGCCACTACTGTGGTGTTGTCTGTAGCTATGAGAACTGGTGATAGATGAAGTTGTGTTCTACATTCCAGGATGGCGTAATATATGGCCTTCATTTCCCTGCATTTTTTTCTCAGCTGTGTTCCACAATCCTTCTACTGTGAGTTCGTCCATATGATTTCCAGAATCTGATGCATCTGTGAATAGATGATGTTCTGGCGTCGGAAAAGTCAGAGGGATGCCACTCCATTCCAGGATGGCGTAATATATGGCCTTCATTTCCCTGCATTTTTTTCTCAGCTGTGTTCCACGATCCTTCTACTGTGAGTTCGTCCATATGAGTTCCAGAATCTGACGCGTCTGTGAATAGATGATGTTCTGGCGTCGGATAAGTCAGAGGGATGCCACTCATTACATGCTCTCTGTGGTCCCACCAATGGAGGTCTTGTAGCAAAGTGGGAGGTACCTGAGACTGGAATTCTAGGCCCATTGATGGTATCGAGTTGACCCATGTCTGTAGAGGATGTAGCCACAGCCTTCCACTGAAGAGGTGTCAAGTTGCCTATCAGAGACATCCACCACCTCGGCGACTTGAGATTGATTGGATTATCTTTATAGTCTTGTCGAATGGTGGACATAGATATCCCGTGTCTAGCAGGAATCTTGCTCCAATGTATATAATGTCTTGGGCCAGAGTGATCTCTGACTTGGCTGGGTTGACTAGGAAACCTGGGCAAGTCATAAGCTGGACCAAAAATATCGTGTTCTGATGTAGCTGATTTTTTCCTTGGTCTGCTGCTAAGAAGTCGTCCCGATAACCATGGATTGAAACTAGCTGGATACGGGCAAACTTGATGACTGGTGCTGTAATTCTGGTGAATAGTCAAGTTGCTATCCCGAATGGTAGGACTTGGAATTCGTAGCGTCGGCCATTGACTGTGAAGTGTAGATATTTCTGAGATGATGGGTGTATCAGGACGTGAAGATATGCATCTGTAAGATCTAGGCTGAAAAAGCCAGTCTCCCTTCTTCAACCGCAACTTCTGTATGGACTCCATCTGGAATTTTGGAGGCGACACCAGATATCTCTTGTTGAGGGTCTTTAGATCTATTATCATCCTCATTTTGGTTGTGTTCTTCTTCGGGACTAAAAAGACTGGGGAGTAAAAATCTTTGGTGTTGGACTCCTTAAGTTCCCCAATGGCTCGCTTCTTTAGTTGTTTCCTGACGGCCAATTCTGCACCTGCTAACTTGGCACCGGTCAGGTGAAACATTCGACCCCAGACGTGTATCTTCCGCCTCAAATGTTTCCTGAAGTGTAGCTTGTAACCGTGAGCCACAACGTCTGGAATCCAGTGGTCGGGTGTAACTTGCTTCCAATTTTCAGCATATGACAGAAAGCACCCTCCCACTGTGCCCGGAGTCGGTGTTATGTTGAAAGATGGTAGGCGTAAATCACAATCCATAGACGTAACCAGGTCGAAAGGGTCCATAACATCAGATGGGGTTGTAAGGAAGTCAAAATTTTCTTTCCTTTCTACCACTTGATCTTCCACGGTGATTATATCCCGGTTTCTTTTTGTCTGGCTGGCGAAAAGAGTCCTGCGAAGATTGTGGCTTGTCATACCTCCGCCTCTGTTGGACAGAATCTTTTTTCAGATAGGACAAACTTCTTCTTAGGAGGCTGTTTAGACGCAGATGACTTATGGTCCCAGGGTCGCTTGTGAGACTGTGATGACTAATGAGCTCTTGCTGCAAGGTCTATGGTTGAAGTCTGGAAATGCTCGGCTGTATCTTGCTTGACTTCATCTATCACATTTCTGAGCTTCCCGTTAAAAGTTGTGGTCACTGATATCAGTTGCGACGTCACAAACTTCTTGGTCTGGATAGATACAGCCCTTGACCTAATCTGGGTTAGGAGCTGTTGTCGCTGTAGTCTCAGTAACTGTGAGGAAGTCCAGACTTGGGATGCCAGTAAATCTTTCTGCATCTTGATGACTGAGTCAAGGAGGCTGTGAATTAGCCTGACTTAAAGGGTCCTAATAGTCATGCGTGTTTCCGGCACAATTCCTTCATAGGATGGTTAAAGAAGCAGCATGATCTGTCTTATTCCGGCGACGAACCAATGTATATATGCCCCAATATCCATGGAGTATCTGGCAACCGAGGCTAAATCCTTGAAATGTGATGCTGATAACATAATGTTCATGTCGGGATTGTGCACTAAATTATAGAAGTCCTCATCCAAGTGTTGGAACTCTGGAATTCTAGCATTGTGCGTCTTGTATAACTTCCGTTTTTACTGGTGGAAGAGGTAGAAGTTCCTTGTGCTTGAAGTCTGTGGATGTTATCCATCGATTGGTCTACGACCTTGCCCGCGTAGCTGGGCCAAGGTAACGTCTGATGAATATGCTGAGATGGAGCAGGCACATGACATCCCTCGTATTCCAGCATCTGGGGTGGTGAATCCTCTGTCACATGTGGCTGAAGTGTAGGCATAAGGTGGTAAAGCTCTTCAATACGTTCAACAAAAGTGTAGACTTCGCTGTAATCTCGATGGGGGGAATTGTCAATCTCCTCCAAACCCTTTGATTCTGGCTCTGAGTAGCCTTGGGTCCCATTGGACGGTCAAATGGTAAGCCGTGGTTGGTAGGCTGGGTAGCTGTGGGTGGCTGGCCCATAGAGTCCGTGCGGCGTCCGTACAGTTTCTTCACAGTTGGCTGGCTGGACGGCTTATCAATCAGTTGGATACCGTGCGGCTGAACGGTATTGTTCTCTGGTCTAGAGCTGGCTTGGTGACTGGTCCATGGGTTCGTGACTGGGAGCCACGCCGTGGCCCATGGCCTGGCCTACGTCCGTGGGCTTGCAGTGCTGCTCAGCTTGTAGCTCTTGTGTAGCATGGCCCCCGGCCATGGACGAAGATCTGGTAGTCTGAGCCAGACCTACTGTCTTGATCTTAGCATTCATATCGGACAGCTTAGATTCTGGCATGTCCTTCATCATCTCCTGCTGTTCTCTCCAGTAGCTGTTGAAGGAGACTCATGGTGAGTGCATGAGGCGCTGGGGTCCACTTTCTTCTTTGTCACCTCACTCCTCTTGGCGTTAGTCACGTCCTCTGATATCTTGGAGAAGATCTCTTCAGATGTGTGGTTACATTGTTCACATCTCTTCTCCAAGGTGCAGGTCTTCCCTCTGCACTTCGTGCAGTTTATATGAGGATTTCCAGTGATCATAAATCGACCACACTTCTTACACCCGGGGGTGGTGGGAGATTGCATGGCGACCTCACAAACATCAGCTATACCCCCATGCGTGTAGTCTCTTGCAGTAGCACTATTACTTTAAATATATATTTGTTTATATGTCTGTTATTATAGCAATGTTATTAGAATAATCTTAGGTTAATGCGACCTACTACCAGGTGCTAGATTGTCACTACTATTATAGTAGGTGTTGACTCCAGCACACACAGGAAAAAAGTGAGATTGCCACCATTATGACGGCGACAAGAAGTTGTGTGTAATTGACAGTGAAGAGGAGGTCAGTTGAAAATCTGAAAATTTTAGTTAGTGTGATTGAAGCCAAAATACAGGATTTATGGCAGATAAGTAATAGAGGTAGACAGATGAACGTGTACTTCTCTAGATACAAATGTAGCATAAAAATCGGAACCATTTTCATGTTATAATCCAGGATCTAAGTTTCCAGAGGCAAGGCTGGACCCCCGGATGAATCCTATTGCAGTAATGTATAATTCTCTTCATAACAAACAAAATGTATACAATGTATCTGTTTATTATAGGGTGGGGATAATATCGGTTTGCATGTTATGGTCAAGGATCTAACTTTGGGAGTGATGGACAGATGAACAGAAGGGCCAGTCCTCGTAACATATGTGTATTTGTCTTGTTATACTAAGCAGTTACATGTATACATGTATATGGTAATAGGGTGGGGATCTCAACTGCTTCCAAGTTTTCACCCTAGAACTTAATCCCCCAGGGTGTGGCAAGACCCCAGGCTCAATTCTAATATCATGATTGTGTTTGTCTCTTTATGCCCAGCAATTGTATATATGATTATGGGGTGGGGATCTCAACTGCTTCCAAGTTTTCACCCTAGAACTTAATCCCCCAGGGTGTGGCAAGACCCCAGGCTCAATTCTAATATCATGATTGTGTTTGTCTCTTTATGCCCAGCAATTGTATATATGATTATGGGGTGGGGATCTCAACTGTTTCAAAGTTATGATCCTGGGGTTAAGTCTCCAGGGGTGGAGCAAGTCGCCTAGGCCATCCTGGTAGCATATGTGCATTCCTCTCATTATACTCAGCAATTGTACTTATGGTTATACAGTAAGGATCTTAACTGTGTCCAACTTAGCCCCTCAGCCCCTTGGGGGTCAGCCCCACCATTTGTACAATTTTGAATCCTCACCACTGGAGAATGCTTCCAACCAAATATGGTCTATATCTATCTCTTAGTTCCAGAGAAGAAGTCGTTTAAAGCAATATAGCCAAATTACCCCTATTTCACCCCGCCCTTCAGCGCTACCATTTGTACAATTTCTAATCCCCATCACCTAGGGATGCTTCTAGTCAAATTTCGTTAATTTCCAAGTAATGGTTTGGAAGAAGAAGTCGTTTGGAAAAATTGTTGACATACGGACGACGGACAGATGGACAACAGACGCCACGGTATGGCATAAGCGCACCTTGGTCCTTTGGACCCGGTGAGCTAAAAATGCAGGAAAACAGCTGAAAATGACATAGGTCATGGAGCTCAAGCCCACAAGTAAATTCTTTGAATGCAAAAGCGGTGCAGACAAACCATAACCAAGGTGATCTGGGATTCAAACCAGTAAACCCAGTAAAACTGTAAACCCAGTAGCATCTCTTAGAGCACTGGACCACCTCAGTCCCCCAAGAAACAGAAGGCAATTACACATCAACAAGTTACCAAATTGCTGTGGTTTAAAGTTGCATCATAAGAAGTTATACTCACTGGTGACATTGTGCTGATTCGTTCTATGTAGTAATCTGGCCACGTTTGTGATGACGCATCTTCATCCTGAAACAGAAGCAAATGGTTAACAAACCAGACAGAAGCAAATGGTTAACAAACCAGACAGAAGCAAATGGTTAACAAACCAGACAGAAGCAAATGGTTAACAAAACAGATAGACGCAAATGGTTAACAAACCAGACAGAAGCAAATGGTTAACAAACCAGACAGAAGCTAATGGTTAACAAACCAGATAGACGCAAATGGTTAACAAACAAGATAGACGCAAATGGTTAACAAACCAGATAGACGCAAATGGTTAACAAACCAAACAGAAGCAAATGGTTAACAAACCAGATAGAAGCAAATGGTTAACAAACCAGATAGATGCAAATGGTTAACAAAACAGATAGACGCAAATGGTTAACAAAGCAGACAGAAGCAAATGGTTAACAAACCAGACAGAAGCAAATGGTTAACAAAACAGATAGACGCAAATGGTTAACAAACCAGACAGAAGCAAATGGTTAACAAACCAGATAGACGCAAATGGTTAACAAACCAGACAGAAGCAAATGGTTAACAAACCAGATAGACGCAAATGGTTAACAAACCAGATAGACGTAAATGGTTAACAAACCAGACAGAAGCAAATGGTTAACAAACCAGATAGACGCAAATGGTTAACAAAACCAGATAGACGCAAATGGTTAACAAACCAGACAGAAGCAAATGGTTAACAAACCAGATAGACGCAAATGGTTAACAAACCAGACAGAAGCAAATGGTTAACAAACCAGACAGAAGCAAATGGTTAACAAACCAGACAGAAGCAAATAGTTAACAAACCAGATAGACGCAAATGGTTAACAAACCAGATAGACGCATATGGTTAACAAAACAGATAGACGCAAATGGTTAACAAACCAGACAGAAGCAAATGGTTAACAAACCAGATGGAGCAAATGGTTAACAAACCAGATAGACGCAAATGGTAAAAAAAACAGATAGACGCAAATGGTCAACAAACCAGATAGAAGCAAATTGTTTACAAACCAGATAGAAGCAAATGGTTAACCAGAAAGACACAAATGGTTAATAAACCAGACAGAAGAAAATGGTTAACAAACCAGATAGAAGCAAAAGGTTCAGATGATTTTGAAATAACAATGACACCTAACGAGCAGGACAGGTCGCATAATGCTTATCTGAAAGTTACAGAGTGGGGAACAGGTTGACACAAACAGTTCTAATCAGGTTCACACAGTTTTTTCTGCAGATTTGCTTTGTAAGGATACAGTGCTTTTCAGGTGTTTGACACTTTCACCTTCAGAAAAATTCTAAATCAAATTTAATAAAAATAATTCCTTGGCAACAACATAAATAGGTACACAAAATCTAAAACCTGTCACACCATCACCTTCTTTTAATGTCCGACTCTGGGCCCAAAGATTAGATATATTCACTGGTTGAGCACTGTCCAAAAGGATCATAATATATATATATATATATATAATTTTTTAATTTGAAGTTTACACGATGTACGGTTTATCCACTGGACAAGAGGTCGGTCAGATGACCGTGAAATTGAGGTTCATAAGTGTATGAACAACACAATTTGACGCACTCTCCTACCCAGAGTTCCTTGCGGCACAGTGTTATGCTGAGTCACCACTGCGCCTGAGTGTGAATTTGACGTTCATACGTTTTGCACGAGGGCGTGTTCTTTAAATGACGTAAAGACTGACTACTTCCACATTCCTTGGGAAAACCCTGGGAATTCCCTAGCACGAAAACATGCATTAGCGTTCTTTCTGATCATTTAGAACCTTTATTCTAGGTCTCAGCGTTTCAGTATACATTGAGAAATGTCAGAGAGCGTGACTGCATGATTGTTCACGAATATCCTCGCTACGGCCTATCCTAATGAATAAATGAGGAAATGCACATCTAAACTATCGTAGTATCGACTCGATCTGTGCCTAGGCTGACATTGACCGTCTCCAGCAATCTATGAATTTACCTTAGTGTTTTTGACGCATCTTTATTCACCTTTCAATGATCGGCCAGTTGATCAATGATGACTAACACATGTAACCGCCACAGGTTCATTAACAACTTCGGAAATCTCTCCCGTCACGTTTATCGTGTCGGCCATTTTGACGTCTTGTACTTGATGTAAATGTATTACGACGCGCTGTCATTGTGACTGACTTACTGAGGTAGTTCTTTACAGACCTTTCTCATCTAATGAGGATATGATTTGAACACATGTGCTGCGTAAGATGTTTCTGAAGAGCAAGTTGTGCATCCATACGCCCACGTCACCTTTCTTTTTGAGGAACTATTTTACTCACGATATAGCTGGTTGTTGTATGGCTGTCAGTGTAAACATGAAGTCACACGTACTAAATAAAATTGTGTTTAGATCTTGACCTACATCCTTTGAGGTAAGAAATTGTGATAAAAAATTATAAGAATTGACTTTCACTTTCGCAAGCTCCGACGTTCATACAGTTTGGCCCTCACTCTATGAAGCTTCACACTCCAATAAACTCACACAACGTGAAGGTCAATTCTTAAATGTAGTGATGAAAACAGGAACACATTTCCACCCTCAACAACAACTACATGACTAGAGGCATGTGTCTCACACTTACATGCCCACCGTAATCAATATTTTAATGTTTAACCCTTTGGCCCCCACTGCCCGATTTATCAGGCAGCATAAACAATGGCCAAATACACAGCTGCCCGATAAATCGGGCAGCTACTGTCCAAGTCCAACACACGGCTGCCCGCTAAATCAGGCGGCACGACCGTGTTTACAAAATCGCTCTTTCTACTTCCTTTCTCATGTGTAATCTCGTTCTAAAAATAGAAACGAGATCTACATGTAATGACACGTCATTCCGTGGAATTTCCAAGTCTTTTTGGTGTGTAAATCGCGGATATGTCACCTGTTTTCGCGACAGGTATTTCTTCTTGCTTGAATCGTAAATCTAGCGTATGGCGGCCAACTACGATTCGGATAGCGATCAGATGACTAACAACGACTCTATCGGGAATAATAATGTGTTTGATTTGAATAATTTATGCGAAGGGGAGAGGGAATTTCGCGAATATTTTGGTGAAGATTTTGACGGTTTCGACGAGGTGTCCCCCCCTCCCGCCGCCAACTTTCAAGAATGGGTGTGGCAGAGGGACCACAAGGGTGTAGACATGAGGGATTTTGAAGAGGCGACCGGACTCAAGAATACTTATTGACACGGTGAGTGAAGAGTCGTGCTATTGATTTTTTCCAACTGTTTTACAATGATTCTGTGTTTGAACAGATTATCAGGGCGACGAATGAGAATGCAGCCTACAAGTGAACGAGCGATCACAACAACAACAAAGGTGAGTGGCATGACGTATCTCTTTCTTTTTTTAAAAATTTATTTTTCTGATCGCAGTCCGAATTGTAGTTTGCCGGTTTGTCGTATGTCCTTGTATTTCGCTCAATTTGAATAAAATTTATTTCCATATTCATGTTTGTTTTCTTGTTTTTTACATCTTAATTTAAAGTTTAGTAACTGTATTAATTATGTAATTATTAATTGATTTAATCAAGTACTGATTTAATTTATTATGCAATTGTAAATAGCAGTGTATTGTAAATATGTTATCACAACTTATATTTGCAGAACTTGAATTTATACGATCTTTCAGTCCTTTTACAATTTTTTCCTCCTTTCAGATCAATCTGTGATATCTTCCCTGTGATGTCATTCTTATAGTAGCTGTGGTTCAATGTTCAGGTAATGTGATAAATTACTATTTAATTACTTAAATACTTAATTTTTGTTTCAAATCCTGAAAAAGAACAAAACAAATCTGATATTTGTGTTTTTACCTGTGTTAACGAGTTTACCTGCGTTAACAAGTTTACCTGTGTTAACGAGTTTACCTAAGAGGCTGTAAGTGTATCATAAGTAATATCTGACATCAGTATAGAAAACAAAGTCAGTACCAAGTGTTGTAAACTTGTTTATTTGTTTACAGATGTGCATGAAGAGAATTTACCTGTAACACCTGGGATTACCTGTGCCGTCCAAGATGACAAGACCACTGTGTTATGTTTACCTTGTATCTGTGATTTATTTTTGTGATTTTCAATACAATTTGAGTCAAAATTCATTGTCTGTTATCATTTTTTCAGTGTTTTCAAGTTTCATTTCACTTGTAAACACCTGTAATTAGAAAATAACAAAGGTTAGAGACAAAAACAACAAAGAATATTACAGTATACTTACTCCTCTTTACAATGGTATATGATAAATGTATATTAAAAGCAAGTTTCTGGTAGAAAAAGTGCATAAAAAATGATAGTGTGATTTTCCAATAATACTGCCAGGGAGGCCAGTGTGCAGGCCTTGTCAGTGTCAGGGACTGCAGTGTTTCAAGGGACATAACTCTGGGGCAGCCAGGGATGAAAGAGTTAATAAACCACACATCCTTTTTGTTCTGGGACACAATATGATTCCATAAATAAACAAAATGGTTTCATGTTTTATGATCAAAAGGTCAATTAGGAATTACTGACTTGTGAAATGAAAAGTTATATGTTCACTCAAGGGAGACAATTCTGTCAAAGAAGCTTATTACTTATTGAAGTAGTAAGTATATTTATAAGTCATATATGCTGAAATGTCAAATGTTTCCTGGATACGAAGATGATATTTCCTCATTCTTACCATTGAAAACCATTCTACAATGACAAGTTGATGATAACCCTCTTTACTGCGTATGAGTGAAGTTGGGGGTGGCAGTCAGAGGGAATCAGGGAAGGCTCAACCTTTAGGGGAGGGTCATAAAAAAAATACATATATTTGGGGAGGGTCATGAAAAAATCAACATTTTATGATAAAATCTAAAGTGCTTTTCATTTTGCCTTCACAAAGATGTACAAGGAAATGGGGAGGATCATCCAAAAAAGAGAAGTATAAGAGGTGGGTAATTATTTTTAGTACATTAGTGTGCATCACATCAAACACCTCTGAAACAATTAGTTGCACCTGTAATCT